TGATTTTACTCTCAACAAACGAGTAACACATTTTTGTGATGCGCCGTAGATTATACAACGTCATGCTATATCACAACTCAAAGAAACATGAATAATAACAGACCCTGATCCATCTAACTGCATTTTTGAGTAGAACGTATCACGGTCGCGCAGCTGGTTAACTTTAAATATATATTAAAATCTTGCGTTTATTGGAAGACCCTCCCTCAAACCAAATGCTCCCAAATTGTCTCCAAGTTACATCAACACATGAGGTTACGCCATGTGGAAAAACTGCAAAGGCACCGTGAGTAAGCAATAAAAACCAATCTGACCTCTGAGAGAAAAGAAGGATGGGTAATGGTGAAAGAAAAAGGGAGAAGGGAGAATGAGTCAGTCAAGGGAAATGAACAAAACCAACAGGAGTTCTGTCAAGAACGCCGCACTCACAGAATAAAAGGTCACGCTGTGCTCATCACTCAAGGTCAACCAATATTTGGCCGCGTTGTTAAATGTTCCCTACAGAAGTGGTGTGTATGGAGATTTAATGGTGGCATTAGTCAGTTGGCCATGACAGTCAATGGCACAGACTTTAAAAGCAATGTTTTAGACGTTGCAGCACTGCACGCTGTAATATCTCTTTAAAATAGATATGATAAAGTGATCAAGGCCATTAAAACAGCACAACTTGTGCAATATATATTATCTACGGGTTTTTAATATATAAAAAAGTTTTATATCTACATATCTATTGTTTTTCCGACTGTACATACCTGCCTCTCCTCTATTCCTGCTTTGTGTCACTGTAACGTAATTTCATTTTGATGCAAATCCAAATGGCAAATAAAGTCTGTGTAAGTCTAAGAACATCGCTGCCACACAAAGGATCTTACCTGTTGGTTTAAAAACAAGGTGTTTGTAATGCCCGACAGTGGCAGCCATCCAAATTAACTGGACAAGGCTTCAATGTTTCGGGCGCAGCCTCCATCTGGCTCTACGTACGCCGCACGCTCCAAATTATCAATTTCTAGTGCGTGCCAAGCAACATGTTTAACCACACGTACACGGTCAACGTAATGCAATCCAGCACATTGACAAAGGTAGCTTTAACACTGGACCACAGAGGTATTGGTTCAACACACCGAACTGCATCACGTCACCTGACGAGCAACTTTGATGCCTGCGGAAGAAGTGAAAAGATACAGTAACCAGAATATGCCAAATCCAGAGCGCCAACGTGATAAACGTGTTCCTCGTCGGGAGCACCGGGATGTGACTTGTGCCATTAAAGAGTCAAGAACTGGTTGTGTATTTTAGGTTCATCAGTTAGGTCACGCAGTTGGATAAAAGCGCTGTGTTGTGATGAGACAGTATAACATCAGCCACTTACACACCCTTTGATTAATCTGCAGCACGTTTTCCTAAGAACTACGAGAGAAGAGACAACACGTAACATCAGGGTGTGAGCACATCACAATACTGGTTGGAGTAAAGAGTGAAACGTGCCTTTAAAAGACGCAAGATCGAGTAGAAATGCTGTTTTCCCACTGCAGTCTGACACGTGCTGTCATTTTAATGTCAAAGCCCTCTGAGCTGGCAGAAGATTGAGCTGTCAGGAAGACGAACATTTCAGAGGGACTGCAGAAAATAAAAAAGGATACACCTCAGCCTCAATGACGCAACAAAAAAGGTACTGCGGGACTGATGCCAGAGCAAACACAGCCCACTGCAAGAAGCTGTACGGTGATATCTAACCCAAATCTTACACGTTTTCATTGTCATCCAAACCCTCTGATACATCCTCAGTTCACGTACACCTTCAGGATGTTTACCGCTCTCATGTCCTTCTTGTTTTAGACCTGCGGTTCAGTACTGAGATATTAGCACAAAGTCATGGACAATAAAAGGATACCTGTATGATTTAAATATGATTACACTGGAACACTAACAAAAACCTTCCTAATCCCACCACTTACAATGAACTACAAACTACAAGTGACGCCTATTAACCGCGGCAGCCGACACGCTCTTTATGATGAATAATAAGATTTATTTTGCCAGGGCTATGACTCGCAACATTTGTGTTTATTGTTGCAGTGCCTGTATAAAAAAGGTACTAAAACATCAAATGTTGCCAGTGAATAACGGATTAAATAACAATTACATTAAAGGATCAGTGTGTGGGATTTAGTCGCATCTAGCGGAGTAGTTGCCGATTGTAAACGCAAAGGAGACGCACGCAAAAATACACAAACAGCCCGATCTACAGCCAGTGTTTGATTTGTCCGTTGGAGAGAAGGCGACCTGTAAATATGATGATACTTATTTTCAGTAGGGATGTAATTCTGGGCCAGAACCGGTGTTTAAATAAGTATGCCGACACCGATGTTTTTTGTTGTTATTTATTTGCCTTTGTGTGCCAGGGAAACACAGAAATCGTCAAAGATGAGCATCTCTGCCGCGGTGCAACGCTGTCTTTTTCTTTCCTCGTCAAAGATGTGAGACGCAGAACTCAACAGCTGCATAGAAGACGTAGCTATGTGTTAGCAATATGCACCAGTGAAAACGGAGCTGATCATTTCTACAATATCCGAGTTGGAAGTAATTGTAAATGGATGCAACACGACAACATCAGTCACTGATATCGGTTAACTCCATCTTGTTTGCCAACAGGCCAATGTCAGCCAACAACGCGATACCAATGTGATGCATCTGTAACTTTCAGGTGATTCACACTAATGGAAACGTAGCTGCTCATATTATATTCCATTTCTGCCAATACATGCTCCTAAATGTTACACACTGGACCTTTAAATTAAAAATATCCGCTCATAATTACAGAACCTGTGCATTTCCTGGTTACGAGGGACTCAATTTTACAGGTAGTGAGTGTCACTGCAAACTGAAAGTATGCAGGTAGTCATTAAACTAAGTACATTAACACAATATTATCAATGAGTTCCTATTCTCTAGTTTGAGGTGTGAAAATCAGTCAAATGACAGTTTAGTTTTTAGTTTTGGCTGAAATGAGAACCAACAAAACTCCCCGTCTTCCATGGTATTCTGTTTGACAGCCCAGCCAAGTCCAACCGCCACACAGCGCAAATTTAACAGCAAATGACCAAATACTGGTTGGCCTTGACCACCAATTGATCAATTTTTGCGATTTTCTTTAGGAGGGTTAGAGTATCGAGAAGATCTGCTGTATTCAAATATCCCCTGTGGCTGATAATGCCTTTAGTGACCCGTGAAATGTTCATTTTACATCAGTTCTAACATAGGGTTCGGTAAGAACATGGCTTAATATTTATTTATCGTTATAATAGAAAATTTTTTGATGCAACTGTGGTTTCCTGTGTATTGTTGACATCCTCACTTCTCTTGTGAACACATAAAGACAAAACCCTGTAATGTTGAACGAAAACAAACTTTAAAAATAATTAATACTGCCTTCCTTTTCTAGACATGCATGGTCTTACATTATTAGGCTTCCTACGTCTTTGACAAGACATGAAATAAATATCACGTCTGACAAAAACGTCTTAGGTGAATAAAGCGTTAATAATACTGATTGTATTATTTAATATCAGTTTCCTTCCAATTATATTTGTTCATATTATGGCTGCACAATGAATTAAAATGTTAAACTGTGTGAATCATACTGCAATCACAATGTGTCAAAATAATAATTGCAATATGATATTTTTTAAAAACATATTGTGCAGCTCTAGTTCATATTAATGTGAACTGTATTATAACTCCATGGCAGAATCTGTCAGTCTGTCCCTACAACACCACACGAGTATATACGTAAGAGATGAACAGCAATTAATACTGGCAATTTTTACAACGATCTGGTACTGCTTGTGGTGAATGGGAGATTGCACAAGCTCCATTTTTAGTGCGTATTAAGTGTCCTCTCAAAAACACAGCTCTTTAAACTTGAGGCATTTTGCATTTTACTGGTTCAGAGCAGTCGTTGCACGGACAGCCATCTAAAAACAAAAAAACAGGCAGCTTTTGTATCAGGATACACACCCCCAAGATGCCACAGGCATTGGCTGGGAGGCTCTCCAGGTTATTCAAGCTATGCTAGTTCCTAGTATGAATTAGCAAAATCAAGACTAACGTTAGATTGATTCTTTTTTTTTTTACCCCAGACTGTATAGCTATAATAAATAAACGTGTAAATAAACGGTGGCGAGCTCATTGCAGACACCACCACCCACCCCACGGTAATGTCGCTCCTGCCTTTTACCTCCAATGCACAGACGGCAATATGTTTGTTGAGCGCTAAAAATGTACAACTTGGCTATGGTTTGGTAAACAGACCGAGCCACGGACTCGCCGTGCCCCTGAAATGCGTCCCCACATGTACGTGCGTTGTGTAATGTGCAACTATGTCGCCAAGATAAAGAACATTCAAGTTCACGTTTATTTTTTATTTTTTTGGTGCGTGTGTGTTTTAATGTCAATATTCAACACGAGAGCAGAGCACAGCCCGAGACAAAAGCCCACTGCAGCCCCCTTTTCGCTGCCCCTCACAACGATCCCCCTCCCCATAACGCTTAATCTAGCTAGCAAAGCTCGTTTCCAGCCCTTTTTTTTTCTTCTTCTTCTTTAAACACAGCCCTCGCTGACTGCGCTGGCTGACTGGGGCTAACCCAGCTCACTGCTTTCGCCCCCGACATTTTCCTATTCGCCGTGCCGTACTCTCGTAGCCAGTTGTTACACGCAGATTAACGAGCAATACATTTTTTATTTTTTTTTATTTTTTTTTAAAAGCTAACGAAGACGAAAAAAAGTAGTCAACGTGTGTAACGCACGTGGCACAGAACCCGTACCCGAGCCCACGCAGACACACAACATTCCATTTTCGAACGCAGTTTTACTTCACGTTCGCCCAACGGTAGCTTAGCGCGCTGTAGAACTTAGCCCAACGGCTAACGTTATTTCTTTTGGTTTTACCGCTTAAGATCCGTAGGGGGAGTGAAAACAACCAGAAAAAAATGTGCGCTTACCTTTGCACCGGGTTACGCGTTCCCACCGACTCATTCAGGTTCAGCTATGTGTTGAATGTTGCGCAATATAAATAGTTATTTCCTAAATATTGGACGTTAACCGTAGCCTACGGCTGTGTGACGTTCATCGCTGGTTTTGAAAACATCCCAGCCGTTCGTCGCCCGTCCTCTCCGAGAAAACCCCAGCAAAACATGCAAGCGTCGCTCCCATTGGTCGAGAGGGATCACGTGGCCGCCTGAGCCCCACCGAGCTTATAAGGTCTCCGTCTGCTGGATAGACTGAGATGGGGGTATGTGTCAAACGGTTTAACGCTCGTTTTTAACGACTCTGTGAGTAAACCGCCGGTGTCTAGATTGTCCTCCGCGCTTTCACGTTGTTTGTCCGCTCGCGGCGGGTGTAACCTCCGTCGGTGGCCATTAACGTGTGAATGTGGACTGAAATGGGGGGAAACGGGAGAGCAACGGTAATGGGCACTTGACGTCATCTTTTCCGCCGCCGCCGCTGTGTTGCGGTCAGTGGGAACTTTCTCGAAGATCGCGGATGAGGGGTTTTTAAACACTGGGAATGGCGGCTTGTTCTTGCTTTTCTTTGCGAGGCCACACGGGTTCATGTCTCGCAGTTTTCATTAATAAACGGGAACCCGCCCTCTTTTTTTTTTTTTTTAAGGCCCGCACTTCGCTTCAACCGTTTCTCGGCCTCGCTTTGAGTCGGTTGCGCAGTGACATTTGCATCGTGGAGGTGTCTCTGCGCGCATGCGTCATGATGCATAATAGTGTATGTTGCAGAGCAGGCTTGAAAGTCGCAAGAGGAAACCGGAGTGGGGGGAGGGGCACCGGCTAGACACGAAAACGCCACCGGGGCGTGATGGAAATGACAGGAGCAGTTGTAGGAAGAGGTTGGGGAGGGGGGGGTTTATCATATAATGGCTTAGACCGGATTAACCTTACAGATATCTGGGATTCATTAAAGGGAAAATACAAATGTGACATTACATTTTGGCAGGTCAAAGTGCTCGTTTTAAGATACCTGTACACATTATGAAGATTTAAGTTAGTTTTGGCATTAGGTTATAGCCTCTAGTTAATGATAATGACTAGTTAAAGCACAAATATAAAGGATATCTGCAATTTAGCTCAAATTAGTGATAGTTTTCAATTAGAAACATGTTATTATTCACCATTACAGATTATTTAATTTCTTTTTTGGATATTTGAAACTAGTATGATTGTCGAAAAGGCACTGGGTAGTCTTACGTGAAGTGAAGAAAGCCTTTCTGTGATATGAATTCAGTCAAACTAATACGTAATCTTGTATATTATTAATTCTGACTTGGAAATATGTATTTGGATGTGTCTTCTATTTGCTGATTTCTGTAACGCGCCACACTTGCAGGTGATAAATGCATTTGTATGTGTACGCTGTGTAATTGATAGTCCAGTGAAACCCTTCACAAAGCTTGTCAGAGAAGGCTGTCACTTAAGTAGCTTTGACAGTGGAAACTGTGACGTAAGCTGCTTTTGTTGTACAGCACGGCATCATGTGGTAAAGCTCGGTGATACTTTAATTAAAATATTATTTTTCTCTAAACACTAGACCAGGAAAAGACATGGCAGAATAATAATATCTATAAAATACAGACAGTCGGCTCTGTAAGTATTTGTGCAGTGACACCATTTTGGTTATCTTGGCTCCGTT